CCCCAAAACCCCAAAACCCCTTCTCGCAAAATTATAAGAAATTGATAGAAACTCATTTAAGCATTTTATAAAAATAGAAATTAGTAATGGCTTTTGATCCTCACACATATCATTATGATTATTACCCTGTTTACAGGAAGATCAACTTTGAGATACAAAAGGTTAATGAAAGAGATATTAATTAGCATAAATTGAAGTCCAAGTCACTGGCAGATTTACATACAGCTTTTGGAGTAAGTATCAAATATTCACATAAGCCATGTTTTTATAAATTCCATTTCGAATATATTTTGACATTAAATTAACATTTTACAGTTACTTAATGAGATGGACAGATCGGTAAAGAAAACAACTTAACTCACCAACAAAACTTTCTTAGCAAATGAAATCGCCCATGCTAAACTAATGAAGTTAAAGCAAAAGCGAATGTACGAGGATGTTGACAAATAAAAGCATTTCATTCGATATAAAAATGATTGGATTTTCAGAGAAGATGTTGGCTTAGAACCTCATTATGCAGGCTCATACTTACCTCCTATAAATTTGCAACCTCCCATTCTATATAACACTATTGTAGAGCCAAACTGCTCACATAGTTGCTTAGACAGATTTTGCAATGACTGCTATCTGGAGAGAAAGGCTTTTGAACATAAAGAGGAGTATAATCAATTGAGGTAAAGCCTACCTCCCATATATAACTTAGATCATAGAAATCTAACCTCATTTCGAGTTATGTTTCCTTGAAGGGAAAAGTTACCACACAAAGTAGAATAATTAAAGTTAGATATAATTGAAATAGATGTATTTTAATTTTGTAACAATAATAATTTAATCTTAAAATCATTCATTCACCATTTCACTCATGAGTTAATAGTAGTAATCGCAACATGATCTATTGCCAGATGATATTCCTTTAGCTATTGAATTAGATAGAGATGATATTGATTTAGAGCCATTGATTCATCATGAATACTCTAATGAAAATCAGTCAAGCAAATAATACTAGAACAGCCTTCCCAAGCTAAAAAGGAGTGTTAGATAACCATCTATTATCCGAGAAAATCCTTACCCAACCACACTGAGAAGAGCTAGCTCCAGATAATTTATTCAAGAACAGTAAAGGCTATAAAATTAAATAGAGCTACAAAAGTACAATAGATCTAGGTCATTCTTTGAGATTAAGTTAGAACTACCTTCTCGCTAGATACATTTGAGGTGAATAGCTCAAGAACTTGTAATAAATATACCAGAGATTTACAAATTTCCTATCTATACCTTGGTTGAAGATTGCTCGAAGCATTTACTCTTGAATGAAGTCGAGTTACTAAACTGGTTCGATATTGTTATTCAACTTTTACAAAAGATCGATGTTCCCCTGGGTTAACTAAAATTTAACTAACTTCGCATTCTTTTTTACTAAGCAGGTCGGATTATCAAATGAATCTATAAATCTCAAATTTCAGAAAGCATAGACACTTATCTGAGTAACTTTCAGTTTACTAACTTTAGAGAGCATTTCCTCTACGAAAGACCCTCAGGCCAGTAAACCACTGCATCATCAGTTTCTAACAGACTCAGTCTGCGGGTAGATTTTTCTGAATTCTAAGTGTCTTCTCTTAAGAGACTAAATGAGTTATATAAAAGAATGAGTAAACCATTAGAGCTCGACTAGTCTGAAAATGTTGTGAATTATAATTGGATCGTTGATGGTATTTTGAAAAACTCGACACCTTATGAGACTCATAGAGACCAACACGCTAATACAACGAGCAATAGAGGTAGAAAGAAGCTTATAGACAAATAGTGGTCATCAATGAAGATTAAAAGAGGTAGAAAGTCTTTTGCATCATTAGCAGCAGAAAGAAAACAAAGTTACTAATCTTCTTCAAATCTGAGAAGAGAGTAATTTAGGAAATAAAACGAGGATCAAGATTTTTACAGTTAGTGTTTAACCTCTATGGACAAATAGAAATGCACAGTCATCAAAATACCAAGAACTACTTAGAAAAACATGAATTCTTGTGCTTAACTTTCTGCCAATTACTAGCATGATTCGACAAGTCCAGACATAGTCGATAACTAAGCATAGGATTTATCAACTAATTTCCTTCATCATCAGTAAAAAGTGCAAAGCAGTGACAGTCTGCAATATCATCACTACGAAAATGAAGATAAGAGTCTCAGTTAGACTAACAACAATCCCTACAGCAACAATAATGAATACTTAATCCCACTGAGAAATTATCATGAATATAGCTATGAAAACATAAGTTAAAAGCAAGTTGGAAATGGGATTGAGAGAATGCTTTATGACTTTGATCATCTTACTAATACAATACAACCATTTATCACTGACCATATTTAGCAACACAGCAATGGCATTGAGTAAATTCAACACAATAATGAATCTGAAAATTACTATGATTAGCAGTCCCCGATAACAGGAGCTATTAATAACTTTATATATGGATGTTAAGATCCGTAGAATGAGTATTAATTTGAGCAAACATAGAATATTTATCAAGATTAGCTGCATAAAATAAGCAATAGACAACATGCTTTTGACAACAGTTCTATAAATCAAAATCAGATAATGACTGAGGATTAGTAGATGGGTCAAGTTGTTTATTCTAGCTAAATTACAAATTAATTTATACAACAGAGCTTTGAATAATCTCATGTTCAAAGTCCTCCCTCAAAATAGAAGCATCATATAAATTGATATTTGATTTACTCTTCATTTTTAATTTTATTATTTCTCAGAAATTATCATAACGGGGTTTTGGGGTTTTGGGGTTTTGGGG